TATATATATATATATATTGTTTTTTTTGGCTTAATTAACTTTATTCTTGTTTTGCAGCCATTTGTACCAATTGTTCCAAATTTCATAATATTCCGACTCTTCTTTATCTTTTAATTTCAGTGTTAATGTGGTTTTTTTTATCACTAGTTCATATTTTGTTTCCAGCATTGGGCAAATGCTATTCTAGCTGTAGTTAGCAGATATGTGTTAATATGTACTTAATTTTCTTTGTATATTTCCCTTTGATTATTCCCAGCAGAAAGATTTCGGGTTTGTATTTTTTAATCTGTTCTCCTGTAATTTCTTGCACCCATTACCAAATTTTTGTCCAATATTTTTGTGTTTCCGGGCAGGTCCACCATATGTGATAATAGGTCACATATTGTACTTGTACTTTTTTACACTTCCAGCAGGTCGGCTTCATGTTTGGGTACATTTTAGCCAATCTTGTTGGTGATAAATGCCAACGATAAAACATTTTGTATATATTTTCTTTAAGGGCTGCTGATCGTGTTAGTTTATAATTTTGTGTTCCAAATTCTTTCCCAATCCACTAGATCTATGTTGTAGCCAAAGTTTTTGGCTCATTTTCTTCCTTGAGTCACCCCACCCCTCCTCACTCTCTGCCTCCCTTCCATCTGGTTGCAGAACTGTTGAAGCCAGCAGGAAAAACGAGACCTTCCGCGCCGGAGTTTAGAGAAGAGTTGACCAATCCTGAAGTCCCGTCGGCTCCATCGGCAGAAGAACATCATTGCGAGTGTGTAGTCTGCATGGAACTAGAGGTAAGCCCTCCGGGGGTCCTTGCGGGGGGGCGGGAGGAGTGACAGACCACTGCGTTCATTTTTCTTTCCGGCCCACCTTAGCCCAATCGGCACCAAAATTTTGCTTGCGAGTTCTTTTTCCTTAAAAAGATCAAGGTTCCCCTCGCACATATGTGCTAGTCGTTCCCGACTCTAGGGGACGGTGCTCATCTCCATTTCAAAGCCGGAGAGCCAGCACTATCCGAAGACGTCTCCGTGGTCATGTGGCCGGCATGACTTAACACCAGAGGCGCACTTCCCACCAAAGCGGTCCCTATTTTTCTACTTGCATTTTTGACGTGCTTTCGAGGTTGGCGGAAGCTGGGGCAAGTCACAGGAGCTCACTCGGTTACACGGCGCTGGGGATTCGAACCGCCGAACTGCCGACCTTTCTGATTGACAAGCTCGGCGTCTTAATCACTTTGTTTTTTCTTAAAACAAACCTCCTCCCCCACCTGCGCGCTGCCCCTTTTGGCAATCGCGAAAGTTGCTGGTCTCGCGCCCCCGCAGCCTGACTCCGCCTTCCTGCCTCTTCTCCCTTCCCAGGCCCAAGTCGTGTTCCTGAACTGCGGCCACGTCTGCTGCTGCCAGAGCTGCTCCGATGCCTTGCACATCTGTCCGCTCTGCCGACAAGAAATCGCGCAACGGATCCGGCTTTTCCACAGCGGCTAGCCCACTCGTGGATGGGAAAGGGAAAGGGGGTGTGGTTTCTTTCTCCCCCCTCCTGGGAGAGAAACCTAGGGGGTGGGCGGAAACACACACACACACACCCCTTTGGCATCTCAGCCTTCCTCATTTCTGTTTTTGCACGTCTTGTTTACTCAAAGCTTTAGTCAAAGTCAAAGCTGCTCGCTCGGAGTGCCTGTCTTGTGTTTCCGAGCAGTCCCCGCCGGTAATTGCGCACGCCGGACGATGGGGGCGGGAAGGAAGTGCGCGCCACGCCTTTGCACTAAATAATGTATGCTGGTTGGATTTTTTTGCTCGCAGTTCATGTCCGCTGTCCAGGAGGAGTGTAAATTAATTCCAAACGTCCAGGCAATTGGGGAATAACTGAAGGACGCCCAAAACTCTTGGTTTGCTTCCTTGAAAACATTTCGCTTCTCATCTCAAGAAGCGAATTCTTCAGATTCTTGGATGAGAAGCCAAATGTTTTCAAGGAAAGACCAAAAGGAACAAAAGTCCAGTCGGCTTTTGGAAAAGCACCTTGGCATTGGGCGATGGAGAATCTCCGTACGCAGCTGGGGGGAGACTCGGCATTTAACCCCTTGGAGGAATTTAGGGGAAGGGTTGGTGACGGGATCATCCTCGTGGGCAAAAAAAAAAAAAAACGTGTGTTGGAGAACAAAAAGCTGCTTTTATACAGGGAACCTCAGTCTGGGTCGATCTCAAGCGACTAGTCCTCGCTGAAATGATTTGAACCTTCCTGCCGTTATCTTCCTGTTGACATTTGGGAATTGAAAAGAGGGGCCGTTTACGAAAATAGTGGAGGGGAAGGGAAGGGAAAGATCTCACCAGCCAAAGATGGCATTCCTGGCATGACCACTCCCTTAAGAGACAAAAGTTGATGCCAGGTGGGATGAATGCAGGTTGGATTACTGGAAGGTAGTGCCACAATTGGGTGCCAGTTCTGTTGTGCTTGGCACCGCATATAGTTAATAACTTGGTTAATTAGTCAGTAAATGGACTCGAACTGCCTGGGCAGGCTCTTCTCCAGAAAGTTCTCTGCCCACCTCTTCCCCCCATCTTTCTGGGGCTGCCCCAGTTGAGGGGGAAGAGTCCAGATAGGGACCTCCCAGGTTGGATCTGCTGTCTCGAATCTTGAGCCTTGAGGATGATGGGATGAGGAGTCCTTTCCCGAGCTAGAAAGAGGGGGAAAAATTGCTGGCAGAGCAGAGGTGTCCAACTTCGTCAACTTTTAAGACTTAAAACTTCTGAAAGCCAGCGTGAGGGATTCTGGGAGTTGACGTCCACAAATCTTAAAAAGTGGCCCAATGTTGGACACCCCGGGTTGTACAATCTGGAGGGTGGAGAGGACTGGGAAACTCCCACCTTCGCCCCGATTATTGCATCAATCTTCCTAGGGCAGTGTCGGCGAAACGGGTGCGTGTGTGTCTCCCGCTTTCTGGCATGAATGTGCGTGTAAAGACCAGCTGGCCGATGCCAGTAACCAGAATTGTCTTCCCAGTGCGCGCCATGTGCACCGGGCAGCCGATCTTCCAGGTTCCGGCACTCCCGCACAGATGAATAGCAGCTGGCCGGTGCACCAGCTGGCCGGAAGAGCAGTGGACAACGGCTCGCGTGCCCGGAGAGGTGGCTCTGCATGCCCCTTCTGGCACGTGTGCTGTAGGTTTGCCATCCTGGTTCTAGGGCAGTGTTTTTCAACCTTGGCAACTT